GGAATGTTTGCAGTAAAGCACTGCAGATGTGAATACTGCTAAACTAGTTGCATCAGCTTTTATTTGCTTTCAATTTACAGACATTGCTATTTTAGTTGCTATTAATTGCAGTAATGCAAAGAAGTTTCTGCCACCGCTGAAATAGATTGATAATAGTAATTAAAAGAAGATTACAATTACAAGGGTTCCATGCCTTAATATGTCCTGCACAGATCACTAAATTTTAAAGGCCATTTGGTCATGTAGTCTTATATTATTAAACAATAGACATAGAACTTCAGAGTACTAGCTCATTTAAATTTCTCTGCTTTCACTTCCAGGCATTGGCTCATGAAAACTAATTTTTGCAGAAAGGATGACCCTTTACACAACTCATTTGAAATCCATCTATTTGGCTATCTGTATGTACCATCCTGACATCTGGTCCCATTCTTAACAATATGTGCCATGTCATTTTGGAGCCATGTTTCTGGCAGAGATGGGATCAAGCTTCTAGGTTTTGTTTCATTACAAACTCAGAAATTCATGAATCTCAGGGAAATCCCCAGGAAAGAAAAGGAAAAAAAAAATAAAATAAAAAAAGACACCAATGTTTTTCCAAATAGCAGATGGGGCTTTTTCAGATTTATTTAACGTTTAACTTGTGTAAGCATTTTCCATTTGGCCAAAAGCTTGTCCATCCACCTAGTCTTGGGAATACTTATTTTATTTACTGATTTACAGTGGCTCAAATGCATCCCTCAGCAGCAGCGTATCAGCATGCCTGTACCTGAGGTCCTTCCAGCTGCTGGTACTCTCCCAATTGTATGGCCCCATGTGGGGATAAGAGCCAAGCATCTGCACAACATCCTGGTTTCCCTGGGATGTAAATCCATGCACATGTTCCCAAAGGGAATTGTAGCATGATTTGACCACACCTGAACAAGCAATGGGATCAGTGTCCTCAAGCACACTGTAAACCTATCCACCGACAATTTCAGCACAGTGTGACTCTGATAATCGTGCCTTGTACGGAAGCAATGGTTACCCACGCTATAAACAATCTTTTAGTAGCCCAGACTGACAGAGGCTGGATATTTATCTCTTTCTAGTAGGCAGAACACATATAAAGGCTTAGTCTCAACGTAACATAATTCTCTAGCTTCAAAAGCAGGGAGTCATGATTTCAGAAATGTAAGTGATGGTGCATACACCAATGAAAGAGTTGTTACATATAGCTAAATACTCGGAAAAAATTCGAATCACTACAAGTGACATGTAACTCCAAGACAAAAATCAAACTTCCAGTCGCTATGTACTTCACAGCCTAATAACAATAGGAACTTCAATAAGTCTAAAATATTTAGATCCAAAGACCATATCTCCCATTACTCCAAACTTTTCCCCTTTGTTGGTTTTTTTGTTTGATTGGTTGGGTTTTTTTTTAATTTAAGAGACAGACAGACATGCACTTTTGGACTAAATCTGAAGTTTCAAAGAACAATTTTACTTTTAAAAAAAATCAGCCTAGTTTCAGACACTTTGAGCACACATCTTCCATTCCGATTCATACCTTGAAAATTGGCTGGATTCCTCAGTATGTTTTATAGTGTCCCTTCTCACACTGTTATACATGAAAGATTTTCTCTGTGGCTTTGGTTTAGCCAGAATGTATTTCAGTGCACGTTATGTTTCCCAATTAGAAAAGATGCCACACATTTTTCTGATTTCTAGGACTATCATCCTACCAATTTTCTTAAATAAAGTGTGTATCCCACTAAGGATTCCACTTTCCTCTCTCTCAGCTCATTTTTCTCCAGACTATTTTACCTTGTTTTCCTACCCTTTCAATACCACTTAGCCACTTAATTCCTCATCCATCACATCAATTTAGATCACTCAGTGCTTTGCAAGGTATCTCTCTCTCTCATTATCTTACCTTTCCCCCTCCTTGTCATACACCCAAATCCCCCCCGAGCAGACTGTAACGGCCTGGCTCTAACTCCAGGCATGGAAACCTACACCTCTAATTCTACCTCAAATTATCTTAATCCCCTCCAATTCTCAATTTGTGTGTTATAAACCTTTTCATCATATCCTTCTATTGAGGCTCTTGATCCACTCTACAACAAAATAACTTTGATTTGCAGTCATATTTGCCTCCAGTGGGACTTTCACAAGACTCCAGCCTTGGCCTAATGTTGCCCATAATGGAAATGACACTGTTCCTACTCCAGCCAAGACTGACTGCATTTGAAGAACTCCAACCCTCAGTAAGAAACTCCACATTTCCTTTTTTTCAAACTCCTTTTTTTAAACTGTTGCTTAATCTCCTTAATTCTGACCTCGTAAAATAGCACTTAAGTGTCTAAGGCACCTTATACAATCACTCAGCAGCCTCTGCACGAGAACCTTCAGGCACCTGTATCACATATAATAGCCTACATTCACAATGGAGAGACACAAACCTAAACTTCCTTGATCATATCCTTCCTTATGCATGAGAGACCTGCCCACAGAGAGGAAAAGAAACTGCCTGCAGTGATGTCCTCCTCTACTTACCTAGTCCCTTAACAACTAACAAAATGCATTTGATGCTTTATGTGGAAAAAAGAGGGATGCAAGTGGGACACAGAAGGGAAATTTGGAAAGTTGTCCTTCACTAAGCTGGCTTTTAGGGATGTTCACTCTGATTTGGGTCCATCCTTTACCACCACACCAAGAACTCAAAGAGCACCAGGACCTGCCCCCAAGGTCTTTACTACTAAGCTCTGATTTTCTGTTAAATTCTTCTGAAATGCCACAATCACCAACTTCAATGCTAAAGACATATACCCTTATCCAACACCCAGGCAAAATAAAGAGCTAAAACCTACTGGAATTAAGAGTTAAGAGAACTCCTCTCTCCTGCTTGCCTTAAGGAGGAAACACTCACCTTCTAATGAGAAATACTCTCCTTTTAATCAATCAGAATATTTCTTGCAAATTAAGTTTATGGATTTACTTATTCTTTACCTATGAACAATGTTTCAGGAGACTGCTGCTAGTGGGCCAAAAAGTTAAATCCCAGAAAAGAAGTACCAGTTAAAATAAAGGTTAAAAGCCAAATGAAGATAAAGAGCATTAATAACTACAACCACCCAGAAGACACCAACCAGCTCAAAAGACTTAAATGTCACAAATGAAGACATATCACCAAAAGCAAAAAAAAAAAAAATCTCCCCTGGAAGACAGAGAAAAGGGAAAATGTAGACCCACGGAGGAAAGACTGACTGTTTACATACCTGTTTTCAAAATCACTTCAGTTCTTTTCAGGCACTAGGGAAAACAGGAGTTGGAGGGGTTTGAAATCAAGTACATAAGCAGTTATACTCCAATGTCTGCTGAAGGCTCCAGGGCCGTAACTCACCATTTCATGAGAAAGAAATGTTACTATTGGTTCTCTTTTTAATAAGGAGTTGATATTTCATTTGTTTGAAGGTAAATGATAGCAGCTCTAGGATCACTGGAGCTGATGACACCTTGTTATTGTTATCACATTCTGGTTAAAGTTTGCCACTAAGTGTGCCTCAATTATAATGCACTATGCCAATGATTCTCTTCACTGTCACAAATATTGCAGATGGTTTATGTTACAGAAAGAGGTTAAGCTCATCATTTAAATCTGTACTGCTTGGGCACAGAAATTTTTTTTTTGTTTTCCATATTAAAGCATGAAAAATCTGGAGGGAACGCTGCATTTTTATAAAAATCAGGTTCCTCTTAGTCCATAATTGGTTATCTTAAAAAGCTGTATTATATTTCAAACCTTGATAATACCACCTCCTTACACAGCCTGACTGTACAACCTGCTTCCAGACGGGCAGCCCTCACATGATCTTGAATTTGAGCTGCAAGTATTATCGCTTCTGTCATATTTGCTATAAATAAAATGGAACAATGTCAAAGACGGTACTCAGCACAGAGACAGGGATGGAATTTTAAAGAAGCTCTACAAAATCTGCACCAAAGTCTGCATTAAAAAATAAGAATGTAGATTTTATATAGTGAGGATATATAACTGCAGAATTTGAGAATTTAAAAACAAAACAAAAAACCCACAAAACCCCCATTCAACTGTGTTCTATGAAAAAACTGTTAAAATGTTAAGAATTTAATAGAGCCTTTTTCATCTCTTTATGGCCCTAAAGATAAAAGGCTCTAGAGAAAAATTAAAACAAGTCCTAATGCCATTATAGTTGCATTTTAATAATGAATTTTCACTACGCTGACTTGTGCATGCATTATTTGTCATAGTTATTGCTTGTTTTCTCTATTATCATAGGCTGCAAGCTTGATTTTGTAAATGTTAATATATTTAGAAGTTAAAAAGCTTTAATTCAGCGTCTATTTAAGATATTTGTGTTTCCTCTCCTCAAACAGTTTCTGAAATTCCAGCAGTAGCTCAAGAAGTGCTTAAAAAAAATGGAGATATATCTCCATCTCAATCAGCCATTTTAAAAGACATTAAAAAAAAAAATAAAGAAAATTACAGCACAGTTCAAGAGGCATTCTCTACTTTCATACAAGTCAGTGGCAAATTTGCCACCAGCTTCAGTCAGAGCAGATACAGAGTTTTGGTTATTTACCTCAAACCATGTTAGTCTGCCCTGCAGTGGATTAGAACTGCTTAAAGGTATTCACTGGGTGAAAAGGGAGGCTCTGGCACAGGGTAATCCCAACTGGTCCAGCCCATTTTGATACGGACACACAACAATGCTTTTGGTTGACACGCAAGTGATTCTAAAAGCCACATCCATTAATGTACACATCCACACAAGGTACTGAAATCATAAGACACCTCTTCTCCAACATGGGAACGCCACGTAGGTAAAGCCCAGCAGTTTAAGGCCATCCCTGCATATTTGCACAGAGCTTCACTTGCCTCTCATTGCTGCCAAATGCCTGGGAGCACCTGGAGCACGGTCCTAAATTAATTCCTAATTAAAACAATCCTTTTGAGGCAGACTTGGATCACTTACCTCATCCACATTCTCAAAGGCATTGATGATGTCATATGGTAAACAGGACAGAAGATCAATCACAAACCACGTTTTCAGGTAGTTCATCCTTATGAGCTTGGGATCAGATATAACCTCTCCACCAGGGCCAACAAAGGTCGTATGAAAGTTCAAAACAATGTCAACCAGAAAAATAACGTCCACAACACTGTCCAGCACAAGCCAGGCAATGTTGTTCTGTTTTGTCTTGAAGGAGACGTTGTATGGAACCATAATTGCTGTGTAGAAGGTTAGAATTAAGATGACCCAATCCCAAGTGGTCTTAAAAGCACAATAGTGTAGTATAATGTGTGGTGGAGTCTTTGGAGCTTCTTGCTTGTACTGAGGAAGAATATCAGATCCCAGCTGGAGAACCTGTAAAAGACAAAAAAGCAAATATTACTGTTTTCAATTAATACAAATACAGTTCTTATGGATTTGTGTAAGGAGCAGCACAAAGACAGGACTGTGGTCATCGGACACTGCCAGTCAACCCACAGTTTCTAAATTATCTACATATTAAGAATGTGTGGAGGCAGGTATCACTTGATGAATGGGAGCAGCTTAACATCTAAGGATATTCTTGAAATACTGAGGGGAATGAGGGGAAGCCATGCCAACAGCAAGGGCAGAGAGGCTCCATAAACAGGTTGTGGGTACTGCCATACCAGCTTAAGTGCTGCAGTTATGAACATATGAGTATTCGTTCATAGCTGGAAGTGTTACCAGACTAATCTTTCATGCCTGACCTCTTTTTTAAAGCACCGTTGAGCCAGAACAATACCCTGTCAAAGGTAAACCAGACTTCACCCTTGCTGGCTGACCTCCTTCTAAAACGAAGCATTGTGTGTACAATTTCTGCCCTAACACCCTGGCGATATCATGCTTCCTTCCTATTTTCTTCAAAAAGTTGTTGCTTTTACAAGCTCAGTATCACTAGTGGGTTCTCTTTTATTTCTTGTAATTACTTTTCTTCCCTTTTTTGCATATGACTATAATCTCCTGCATGCGCACTTTTGTCAAATGCAGAACTGAAAACATTGCAAAGGAACCAAGCCAAATTCACTTAAGACATTCCTCCCAGCTAATCTAATTACTTCTTATCTCAGTCCAACACAAGAAACAAAAGCAGAAAGGAATGCACAACAGTGGTGAGATATCACGCTGACAACTGAAAGATTCATGTGTATTTTGGAACTAATAACACCTTTTACATTTGGGGATCACCAGTCTGTATGGGATAAAATAAATAATTCCAGCAACTTTAAAACTCATTTCAGCTGTACACTTGTCCAATACTGGAGCTGATGCACCATATTTGCAGGGACAGTTGACTGCAAATAGCAGTCCCATGTGTGTAAAAATGATCAAATGCAGGATGCTTCCTAGATGAAGAGTAGCAAATGGATCTGAATAAACAGCACAACTAAGCATTTGAACTAAGATATGGATTCTCCATCAATTCTTTGCGGTCTTATTTTTAAGATGACAAAGCTGTTACTGAGATCAGACAGTAAAAGTCTGGCTCTACTGAAAATCTGTTCTTCAAAAAACACCAAGGGACAACAACAGCAGCCTCTCTCACTGTGGCGGAGGTTGTGGCTTCCCAACATGTCTTATCTGGCCCAACAGCAGGCTGTAATCTGATGGGATGCAAACCTGCTTCTGCCTACCTGTTCCCACCCTCCCCGAGGTCAGATTTAGCAATCATGACCTGTAAGCAAAGTCAGTTAAACTGGTATGATGAAAAACTAACTTATTGTTACATTAGTTAGTTGTTTGTTTTCCACAGTCAATTGAGTTGTGCAAATTTATCCTGTGGCCAGAAAACCACTAGACCCACTACACAGGCAGAACTGAGAGTGCAGCACAGACCTCCAGGAAACCATGGCTGCTCCCTCTGCCAACAGCCTCATATCACAGTAGCTTCAGTGTAGCACAAAGCCACATGTGGAACTCCAGCTGAATGGCCATGCACACTGAGCAGTGAGGTCCCAATGGCACTTGTCAGAGACACTCACTGATGCCAAACCCCTGATGACACCCATAAAAATATCAACCTCCAGATGCCCCTTCCCCAGTGACCAAGGCAAGACTCACTAACAGTATTCCTATAAACACCCAATGGGCAAGGTTCAGCTGGCCACCGTGGCACACTGAACTCATTGGTGGATCCACTGGTCCTTCCCTGGAATAAAAGCAATGATCGATACAGTCATTTTTTCACAGTAGCCTTTGTGCAAACCCATGACACTTCTTTCAACATCAAAACTGTCCCCTGCATTTAACACAACATTTTGGGTTTGACTTGTACCTGGTCATTATCTCCAGTTACCTCTTTTGATTCATCTGTGATCAACGCTTTACTGTCATGACAAATCAGGACTGCGATTTCTCTCCTTGGTTTCTCCAGATCTATTTGTTCTCTGCCTTGTTCACTGGGGCAGGAGCTGGAAACAGCCTCACTACAGCTGGAATAATAAGTTACTTAGGGCTGAAGCCGAATACGATGAACATATGCTTGATAGCTCCCTGTGCCTCTGGTGGTGGAGTGCTTAGGAGCTCCCATGATATTGTAAAAGCATAATTATTATTCTTAACATAATATCATGCTGAGTTTGACATGGTGAGTGGGTGGCAAGTGGCTGTGGAGACCACTGAACTATAATGATTGTTTCTTTCACGCTGTATGAATTTTTAATTTTAAACCACCGAAGAATACACAATAACTTGTTAGTCAGCTGCATTCATCACAGACTCTCTGAATTATTCTTGTACACAACTAATGAAAATCATAGAATCATGGAAAATGGCTGATAACCGTTAAGCCTGTTAAAGATGGGCAGTATATTCTGCAGGAGATGAGCTGTGATGATAACGCTCCTCCTCAGGCACGGAAGTATGGAAAATGGGGCCTGTACAGCAATGGTGTACCTCCATTCAGCCTGCATTCCTCACAACACTTCGCCTACAAGGCACTTTGCGGCTATAGATGAGTTGTAAGAGAGGAGACTACACACTCTCCAAACAACCTATTCCCGAGTACCACCTTCTCCCACCTATTCCCGAGTACAATGTTATCCCTTACCTGAGCTCTTCCTATTGCCTGATCTAAATCTTCCTTCCTGTGACCTAACACTGTTACTTTTTCTCTAGCTATAGTGGTCCTGGTGAACAATTTCCTTGCTCATTCTATGCAACTGCTCTAGACTTATTTGAATACTGTTACCACATCTTCTCCAGTCTTCCCTTTCTCTAGACTAAACCAATAATCAATATAACTTGATTTACAGAACAGTGAAATGTCACGCATTAGAAAAGCAAGACGTGAGAGTAACTCAGCAGTCATCCAAGCTATTGGTATGGGACGATTCAAGGGAAAACATCACACTGTCAGCACCTGAAAACTGTGGGTTTCCATTCTGATTTAAATTTGAGTTTTTGTTATCAAAGTCCACTAAAACCAGAAAGGGAACAAAAATAAACATTTAAAGCTGCTACCAGTTCTTAGCATCAAACTCAGGACAAGCTCTCTGGCACAAGGTGGCTAGGGCTGTCATTTTCATTAGCCCATATATTTTGATCATACATTTTTGACCCGTATATTTTTCATTACCAATGGACATGAAGATGAAAGCAGTACCTCTGTTTCATCAGTTAACCTGAAGGCATTCACTTGTTGCACCATCTGCACTGTTAAGGAGATGTTTGCAACCTGCCAAAGAGTTCATTTCATCAGTTCTGAATAAAAAAAATGATGAGCACAATACTGCAGGAATGACTTCGCAAGAAAGTCAAGATTAAGGTATATATGTAGTCAGTGTGCCTGTACTACCCCAGGGACACGGACAAGGACACTTCCAACGAGGTTTCTCAAACAGTACCATTTCCCTGGGAGAGTAAGCGACCATCCACAGGGCCTAAGGACATCAAGTCTGGTTCCATGTTGCTGTGAGACAGCATGTAGAGGAGCACACTGTGCACCTCAAGTTAAGCAACGACCAGCAATCTGAGAATTGCATGCACAGAAACAGGGCCATCTAAGTAAAAGCGACCTATGGAGACTGTTTTCATGACTAAAAGAGCATGACCTGTCTCAGAAATGTGGGCTTGGTACATAGTGCTGCCTCAGGATGAGCAGAGGAGAGGTTGAAAAAAATCAGTTGGGAAATATTTTCCTCTAAAAATATTATTTCTTAATGGGAATTAGGGTGTTTCCCCCCCGCCCCGCTCTGTTCCTGCCTTACAAAGGGAACAGGCTGGTGTCTGACCCACTTACTTCGGCTAACCGGGAGTGTTTGTGCACCACCTCAGCCTTGTTCATCGGCGTCAGCTGCTGCAGTACGCTCCGGCTGTTCGTCAGGGCCCGCGTCAACCGAGCAAACTTTGTCCAACCTGTAGGAAAGAAGGAAATCGTGTCAGAAGTACTCAGACCTCATTCATTGCTAGTTAATCTCCTTCGTGTTCACTGATATTAAGTCTCAGACTTGAATAGTTTCTCTAAATTCCTGCACGGAATAGCTTCAGGCTCCAGGCTTAAAGACCTTACAAAAGAGGAAAAATATCACTGCTTCAAGGCAACCATGGGTAAATCTGAGTAAAACCAAAATGCTCTGGCTCGTTCTTTCTTCTGCCTTTTCGAGACATTGTGTTGGAGGGATCGCATTGTGCTTTCAGCCTTCTGGGGAGTTACTCTGCTGCTGAAATCTAATTCTAAGCCACTGAAGTTAA